TACTGCCAGTTTAGCGTTCTTTTACATATCTTTACATCTGTAGGCAGAGTGGTTTTTCGATGGACAATTTTGCTGGGGCTTATTTCTATCTATGAAATTTTGTTGAAGTTTTATATGTTTGTTTGCTTTAGTGAACCTTTCAGTTGATTTATTTGCAATGCGGGATTGAACTGGAATTGCTTTATTTGCCTTGTATATGGAAATATATATTGCTGGATAGTTAAAACTGCTCTACTTTTGCATCTTTTATACAGATTACTATAATTTTCTCTGCAGTCTCTCAGTAGTTTAAGCCTATAATCTAGGTTGTACTTCAGTTGCTTTAATAACGTTCAACTTGTTACGAATAAATGTTTTATCACTAGTTTTGTGCACGAGTAGTTAGATTTTCTTGACTGTCGAGCATCAAGAGTTTGTAATCTAGAAGGAAGAGATATGCAGTGTTGGTAACGTTGGTGGAGTGAAAAGGGTGAGAAGCTGTTTGTGAGCTTTGCTGCTAACAGAAATCGGACCTCTGGTAGATTTTGTAGATGTGTGGTCGTCCAACTTTCGGCCTTTGAATGTGTTTGGTTTGGAAACGGTTTAGGAGGTGGAGAGGCTGAGGCTAGTCAAATAAAAGAATCCAAGGAATGCTTTCAAACTGGAGCGGTATTTTGTTGGCGGGGCCGTAAAAGTGGCCGTTCCATTTTTTGTGTTTTAGGTGCCTGGAGCTAATGACGTTAGTGATAAAGCTTGGTATTGCGTCAGAATCAATAAGCAATGCCGAGTCTTCTGGTAAAATGGTCGGCATGTTGTAAACATTATAACTGGACTTGACGGGGGGCGTTAAAAATTTTCTGCTGATTATTTAAAGGCAGGACAATCTTTGTGATAACAATTCTAACTGCTAAACAGTGAGAAAGCTGACATAAAGTGTTAGTCATTTGCTGCATTAACGCTCAACCGATGTTACGACGATTCTTTTTCGTCTTTCTGCCCGTTGTGCTCTGTGAGTTTCAATTAGTCTCAATTGAAACTTGAAATTCTGAAATTTACTGATCATGTTTACGTTCAAAATGGATCATCCATAAAACAGTATTATACTAAATTTTTTTTAGTTTATTTTAAATTTGAAAAACAATTATCTGATAAAAATTTGGTTTACTAGTTAACCGGCAAAAAATGAGCTAAAAAATTTATGCAATAACTGGAAAAAAATCTTTTTTCTTTAATGGTAATTAGGTTAAAGAAAAGATTTACTGCTTTTTTTAAAACCTAATTTTTTTTTTAATTTAGGAGAATTTTTTTAGTGTATCTATTTCATTCAAATTTTCTTCTTTTATTAGAGGATTATAGTTATGCAGAAAAAAAAAAAAAAAAAAAAAAAAAAAAA